TCAATATGATGAGGCAAGTGAATAAAGTAGAAATTTGGACCTATGCTTGGAAGTACTCCCTCTACGCTCTTAGGGACTGTTGAATGTGCACTAATCATTGTGACTGCTGACCCCTGGTGACTACACAAGTTTCCATGTGTAATTATCATGGCCATAGGCCTGCCGGCTCAGTTGTTAGGCTAAACATTCGATTATAAATTGGTTTTGTCATTAAAGCATTTAAAATATAGAAATAGTATTTATAATACTTAAATATGCATTACAAGTTTGCTAATCTTATTAGATTTATAAAATGATGATAATAGTAACCAAGGCTCCCTTTAAGCTGCGTGGTAGCACATCCCAGCAGCTGCTTAATCGGCCCCACCCAGCTGCCTGACTGGGCAGGACTGATTAAGCAGCTGCGGGGCTGTGCTACCACGCAGCTTAGAGGGAGCCTTGATGGTAACATATTAATGATAAACATCCATCCTAAGCCAAATAGGTACTTGTGCATGAAAATACATACATTTCTGTCTTCTTTCCATTGCCTCACATCATCACAACTAGGCTATATAAAACAGTAATGAGAGCAGCTGTGTATATGGACATTCTTAAGATTTTAAAACCTATGGAACCTCACATTATGCTACATTTGAACCAGTTCAGTAAAAGAAAGAAATCTACTATGTGGATGAGCATGAGGGAATATGAAAAGGTGCAGTAACCTTATCTATGAAAAGAATATGATAATATTCACTGACAGTGGATCTACAAGGAACAATTATCCCAAGCTGTGTCTTTCAGACAATACTGTCAGTTTCTCCTTTTTGATGGGTACAGCTGGGCATGTGATGCCTGGGCAAGACATTCCTCAGTGTCTGGAAGCCTAGTATATTGGGTTGCAGGTCTGTACCAGAATAGTTGAACAAAAAGTGGAAAAGAGGACAAGTTTCTGCACCTTTGGGATTTTAAGGAATCGCTAGTGGCAGGACCAGGAGAGGTTCTTTCAATGACACCTAAGTTCCACAGATGTGTATAAAGAATACAGCTTATGCTTTTCAGATATTTGCAGTTGCACCTTGAGGGCCAGACTCTGAGTTGTGTACATTGGCATAGCTGAACTCATTTCACTAGAGCTGTTGATCTGGTTCAGATTCTTTAACCAGCACAGCTCCATTTCCTTTATAGTTTCACTGTGTGTGCTGGATGTTTCTCGCATGCATAATAATTGGGACTTTTTACAGAGATTTTTTCATCTTCAAAGCACTTTCCAGTTACTAATGAACTGAAGCTCGTAGTACTCCGTGATAAGAAAATAAGTGGTCCACAAAGTTTATACACAAATGTTCATTCTAATATGAGGTTTATTTGGACACAGCATATCAGTCCAGCTCATCCTGGGGTCAGCCAACAATTTGGATCTTGATCCAAATGCATCTAAGATTTAGGGATGTTCACTAGCAGTGTTAACATTTGGGCCTAGAACTAATGAATGTTGTTATCCCCAGGGATATAGACACAAAAAGTAATTTGTCTAAAACCACAGTCAGACAGCATTGAGGACAGGAACAAAACTCCCTGCTTCCCAGCCTTAGGCTCAGACCACTTCAGTCTGTTTCTCTTACAGATAGCAGATCTTGTTGTGTATGATGTTTTTTGGGGTAGTATATACCATTCTTAATAGCCTGTTACTTTAGTTGAAGCAAAATGCAGGACAATGTAGCACTTTAAAGACTAACAAGATGGTTTATTAGATGATGAGCTTTCGTGGGCCAGACCCACTTCCTCAGATCAAATAGTGGAAGAAAGTAGTCACAACCATATATACCAAAGGATACAATTTAAAAAAATGAACAAATATGAAAAGGACAAATCACATTGCAGAACAGGAGGGGGATGCGGGGGGGGGGGGGGGGGGGGAGGAAGGAAGGTAAGTGTCTGTGAATTGATGATATTAGAGGTAGGGAGAGTGGGATGTTTGTGAGTTAATGGTATTAGAGGTGATAATTGGGGAAACTATCTTGGTAATGGGTGAGATAGTTCAAATGTTTGTTGAGTCCTTTTTGGAAAGTGTCGAATTTTAACATGAATGACAGTTCAGAGGATTCCCGAAACATGTCATGTGAGTGAGGGTGAATCTACACTGCACCGGTATTTCGAGATAACTAGCGTTATTTCGAAATAATGTGAGTGTCTACATAGCAATAAGGATGGCTTATTCCGACTTCTGTAAATCTCATTCCACAAGGACTAATGCCTATTCCGAAATATCTATTTTGAAATAAGGTGTGTGTGGACACTCCACTGCTGCTATTTCAAAATAGCCCCTCACCAGGGCCATTCTAAGTTATTCCTCCTGGGGCTGTAAATCGAGATAGCACATCTACATTAGAGAAGCCTGCCTCAGACTAATTTTGAGGCTTCCCTGCAGTGTAGACGTGCTATTTGGAAATAAGCTAGTTCAGAATAACTATTCTGGAATAGTTTATTTTGAAATAGCTGTGCAGTGTAGACGTACACTGAGACTCACCCTGACCCTGCATGTGTTTGGGTGAAGGTGAGTGTAGCTGGGTGAGGGAGGGTGAATGAATGTGTTATAACAAATGAGTGGGTGTCTGGGTGATGGAAGGAGAGCCTGAATGAATGTAAGAGTGATTGAGAGCATACAGGAAAAACTAAACGAGCCAACGTGTGGGTGGATTAGAGAATGAACACACATGAGAAAGAATGGGCAAGGGAGACAGTGATGTGGAACAGATGCCCTTCCTTTATTCTTTCAGTAGCCATCCCATACAGTACCATTTTGTTTACTGTATTTCTTAGTATATGCTGTGGAGCTGAGTATTTTCTTAAAGCAATATGAGCTCTCAACTCTACAAAGTAAAATCATCTACCTATATTTTGTTACCTCTGTTTAAAGTGGACACACATAATAAATGTCCTCATGCCGTGTCCTAACAGGATTATTTCAGGATACTGTAATAGTCATCTTGAAAATCCTGACCTTTATGTTAAAAGGAATAGGGGCACTGGGTAAAACCTGTGTTGTGGCTCATCTTTATGGCAATACAGGATACTATGTAATGAGCATATTCACTGTGTGTTAAGGCTGTCCCTGAGATAAGGATATCAGACTTCAAAGTCTGTGTAAAACTATTTTGTAAATGGGTGCAAGTAGCTTTGGATTTTTTCCTTAGTAATGGAAGCAAAATATGTTACCTCTTGAGCATTACCTGATAGTTATATTAGCTGTTAGTGCCTTTTTCTGTACTGGTGTCAGTACTGGCTTTGCTAATTATTTGTATTACTTTCATAGTGACTAAAAGCCCTAGTCATGGACCAGTACCTATTGTGTTTGGCACCGAACAAAATGACAGTCTCTGCCCCCAACAAGCATATAGGAAGATAGGTCCTAAACTGCCATGTGGCCTGTAGCACACATTAAAAACTAGGGACCGAATATGGCCAGTAGGATTGACTGTACTAGTATTTCTGTAAATCCGTATTCTGCTTTCAGTAGTGGCCTATGAAAAAAAGCAGAATATTCTCAGATATCCTGAGAATGGCATTTAAAAATTATGTTACAATATACTTGCCAAGTGCTATTTCATCCTTTAGGTTATATTTTGTGGATATAATGCATACATACAACTGATCACTGAAAGGATCCATTTAATGAGCAGTGAAAATAGTTATAAATAAGTATTCCTACTCACTTTAGCTCACCAAATGATTGTCTCTGGATTCCAGATTGAATTAATCAATATATTTCTGAGGACTTTGAAATGGATCATTTCATCCATAACTATTTGGAGTTCATTGAATAGGTCTATTAAGATAAATATGGTTAATAGTTTTAAAACTGTGCACTACTCAAGCACTCTCTGAACAGGTATTCCAGATGCTTTACAAATGAAGAAACTGAGGCACAAAACAGTTGAAAGTCTAGACCAGTGACACACAGTTTGTGTCACAGTTGGATGTAAATTTAGGGTTTTACACATTATGTTCTGATTCTGGAATAGATACAAACGATTAAAAAAAGTTGATAGCTATGGAAAACTGACACTTCCCTATGATAATGTAACATGTAATAATAAAAGACTGATTTCAGTGTTCTTACAGTAAGTGAGAAATTACCAAATAAATGATCACACATGTCTATAGGTTACAAGTCCAGTCAGCCAACCAAAAGATAGCCCATGGCTACGTCTAGACTGGCATGATTTTCCACAAATGCTTTTAACGGAAAAGTTTTTCCGTTAAAAGCATTTGTGGAAAATCATGCCAGTCTAGACGTAGCCATGGGCTATCTTTTGGTTGGCTGACTGGACTTGTAACCTATAGACATGTGTGATCATTTATTTGGTAATTTCTCACTTACTGTAAGAACACTGAAATCAGTCTTTTATTATTACATGTTACATTATCATAGGGAGGAAAAGGGCTTTTAGCATTTGGGCAAGAAGCACTGATTTCGGACAGTAGAACATCAGTGCTTTTGTGCAAGATCAAGCAGCCAGTGTAGACAGCTGGCAAGTTTTTCCGCAAAAGCAACCACTTTTGCGGAAAAACTTGCCTGTCTAGATGCAGCCCATGTGTTTATTAAAGAACGCACATTTTTAGATAGAATAATACCAAGTTTGCTTGATTCAGATCTTTTGTGTCTTGCAAATGTTTTCACTCTTATGAGGAGATAGTCCTTGGCCTGATATCATGTTATCTTGGGCTACTAAACTGTGGATGAAAACTAGACATGTAGCAAGAAAATGTTTGCAGATGAGTACCAAAAAAATGTTATAGGAAGCCTATAGAAAACTAACATTTGTTATATAAAATATTCATCTGCACAACTGTGTCAGATTCTATTTTTAATATCAGGCTGTATCATCATGTTTCAAAGTTGCCATTAGTGCACTTGTGCTGCTTCTGACTGACTCCTGAGATTCCTATTAGCCGTCTGTTTGATCATTTTTATATATTATTTTCAGTCTTATTGCAGTTTTCTTTTTAAACAGCAGGCCGAGCTGACTCACTGCTGTTGACTCCCTGACCTGCTTCCCATTTCAACCTCCACCTGTTTAAAAAGTTTAGTAGCTGACATATGTCCCCTGGGATCATCTGAGCAGTGGACCAGGAAAAAGCAAACCAAAAGGTAAAACTTTTTGCTTGTGAAGGAAGATCTCTATAATCACATAAGTAAATTACTGTTTTGCTGATTATTCCACCAAGGGAAAGGGAGAGAAAGAGGAAACATCATGCTGAGTGAAGAGAGTTGCTTGAAGTAAAAAACTGTTTTTTTGCAATTTCAGCTGCCAGCAATGTGAAGCGAAGAATACTTTCCTGTTCTTGATATAAAATACACTGAAATGGAAGTGAGATACAGAATGAGCTAGTCAGTAGTTAGTGGAGTGGGAGTTAAGAGTCTATTCTTGGTTCTACCATTGACATGCTTTGTGACTTATTTAACTTCTCTGTGTCTCAGTTTACACACGTGGTAAGGGGAAGTTGTAAGAATAGGTACTGTAATAGTTGCTGTTACTATTTTAATTGTTTGTATTCTGGTATGCCAACAGTGTTGTAGGTTTTGTGCATACACAAGGAAAACTCAATCCTTATCCCAAGTATCTTACAATCTAATTATGTGACTAGTATGGGAGTGACTATTGAGATAGTATTAGTATATAAATAATGGTAATTAATAATTATGCTAAGCCTCCATGCATGACTGTTGTGAGCTAACTAGACATTTCGTCAGCTGACGCTGACTAAGGCAAGTAAATTCCTTAAATGTGCCATCCTTCTCTCTTGAGAAGCCACATTTCTGTATGCTTAGAACTAAGCATTACAAGACCAATAGTTCTTACCTTTTTCATGGTGGCATTGAGGCTAACAGGAACTCAGTGTTAGATAGCTTTGCACCACAATAAGAATGGCCATACTGGGTGAGATCAAGGGTCCATTTAGCCTAGTATTTTCTCTTCTAACAGTGGACAGTACTTGTTGCTCCAGAGGGAATGAACAGAACAAGTAATCATCAAATGATCCATTTCCTATCATTCATTCCCAGATTCTGGCAAACAGAGGGTAGGCTTTATTGAGTGTCTTACAAATCTCATATTAATAGAAATATTTTATTTACTTTTTTAAAATATACATAGAAATAGGATTTTTTTTATTTAAATATTTCCCCTCATTGTTTTTTTCAATCTCAAAGGAAATACGTTGTTCTAGCATAGGAAAATCTCCAACTGAAAAGGATTAGAAACAAAAATAAAGCTGAGAAACCAATTTTCATTTCGCAAGATAAGCAGCATGTAAAAAATAAATCAACCTCAAAACTTAATAATAGAGGATTATTAAGTTAGTTTCACCTTAATACCTCCAAGCCTTATTAGTAATACAGGTAAGGAAATTGCTTAATAAAAATATATGATTTGTAACTTGACAGTGTCCCTCTTAATTAAGTTATGAGATCCTCCGATGAAAGATGTTATAAAAGTACAGTGTGTATTTTCTATTATTCATAAAAGAATGCTGAAGTTCTAGCTCGAAACGATTAAAGCAAGGAAAATCTCATTGAAGCCTTTGATTCTATTATGGGTATTTCTAAAGACACCTATCTCACCATGATATCTGTAGCACTGTACTGTATCTGACTAGCTCCTTAAATCACCCTCTTCTGATGCAGGAATTGAAGATGTTTGCAGTCATTTTGGCCCAGTTATACATATATTAGAAATGCAACTAAGTGTTTCTGAAAAGAAAAATGCATTATTTTCAAAGGTGGTGACTGAGAAGAAATAATGTTTGAAAGCTTGTATTTACTCCCCACCTAAATTACAAGTTACCAGATATACTAAATCAGCCTCTTGCTACATATTTAGTTTTTACAGAACCTTCAAATATGTATATGAGCGTGCACCCACCAAGCTCCTATTATAGATCCAAATCCCGCTTGCTTTATTGAAGCAAGTAAGTCCCATTCACTTCATGGAACTAATTAATGAAGCAGATTTTGGCCCATATATGTAAATAACTTATCACTTGTATCCCTTTCCACAATATTTAGCTCAGTTCTCTAGGTACTATGATACTGTAGATATTTATAATGTGAGTAGATTGTAAGGATGAAATTCTGACCCTATTGAAGTCAATGGCAATTTTTTTGTTGAATTCAGCAGGCTCAGAATTTCATCGTAAATATCCAAATTATAAGCCCTTAGGGGCAGGGATTTACTAGTAGCATTTGCTTACTTTGGTTTAAGAGCCTATCACATTCTTGGGCATTATAAAAAAAACATTAAACAATAAATGATATTCAAAATGTACATTGCCGAGCATTTTTGTAATGCCTGGAAGTCAGGCAGATCAAATGGTTGTCCAAATCAGTAGTTAGAGTTTGCACAAGAGGCCTGATTATTGGGAAAGCCAGAATAGGGAAAGGTACAGCAAAGCATCTAACAGAGTCAGGCAAGGCAGTGTGGCAAGGTCAGGTGGCTCTGAGTGAAAATGAAACCTTCCTGTTAATGGCATGTGCCTGCTTAGCTGCCTCAAGATATTGTGCTAGCTTCTCTTGGATTTGTTGGAAGTGCTGAATCAGTTCTGAGGCTGCAGGGAGAAGAGCAAGATGAAAATGGGGATGAAAACAGTAGTTAGTGACAAAAAAAAACAGGCTAAGTCATGTCGAAGCCTGGTCCATTTTATTATATGCAAATTCCATGTATAGAACACTGATGGACAAATGTTGGTGGAAGTTTGGGAAGCATTGAAGTACTATTCTAGTGCCTAGTTCGTTCGTTCTGATCGACTGTCTTTTGATGATGATATGAGATTGAGGTATGGAGATGCACCACTAATAAATAGAAAACAACCCTCCAAAACTGTGATATAAGCTGGGCTCTTCGATCTGAAGTAATGTGTCTGGGAGGACATTGAGTCAGAAAAAATGAGAGATGAAGCGAAAAGGCAGTGTCCTCAGTGGTGGGCAGTTGTGCATAGGGAATGAAGTGTGCCATCTTTGTAAGCTAGTTGTCCCCTGGCCAGTTCCTGACTAGATTGCAGGTTCCCAGGAGATGCACCTTGGTGAATATCGGTAGTCTCCTAATTAGGTATAGAAGCTCTGGTATCATGTCAGTACGGTATTTTATGGAGGGAGAAACAGGTGACCCTTGAAATAAAGAAGCTTTTTCTGCTGCTTGACACCTCTACCACCAGGGTCGTGTCTGGCTAAGGATTTCAGAAACCTGGGCCTGGAGCTGAAAGGCAGTTGGTTTAGCAGTACTCTGAGCTAAAAGTCACAGTATATTGCCCCCAGAAGATACTTGGCTATTGCTTGGCCACAAGAAGATTCCAGGTATCACAGGGAAGTGTGGGGACTAGATTAAGCTAAACCAATGGGGTTCATGATGTTCCCTGATTACTGTTTCCAGAACTATGGTTTCCTGACTGACAGAAGCAGAGACAGGCAGTGAGCTGTTAACTGTCTCAGACAGGTGGAGATGGTCTTGGGGTGAAGGGGAGACCAAGTACTTGTACTAGAGTGGTAACCGTGAATCTGTCCCTAGCTCCTAGAACTTATACAGTATAATTATGTCTTATGACAATTATGCCTGGTATAGAAAATGAATGTAGAGATTATGTTCCTGAGGTATTCCATGAACCTTTTTCCTGTTTTGATTTGTAAGGATCCCCCTTATAATCCAATTCCTTAGAGGCATTTTATCTGCTAATATGTGTAATGAGAGGCATTTCTGCTGTCATTTGTAAAATTATAATTTAAATTATCTTTATTTGATTGTGGGGTTCAAGTCTGCTAAAGTTACTTGACTGTCAGAGAAGTTGCACGCACACATTTTTTAAAGACTTTACCGGCACATCTGGTGGTATAGCTTTGCCCCCCTTTCACTTATCAGTCAGTGATGAACTGGTAACAGCATCTGCACATTTTCATCATATTTGAAAATGCACTGTGCCTTTAATTCCTTGCACTTCATCTTAAAAAGTACCCTTATGTTTGCAGCTACTTAGTCTTCACTCACTCACATTGGTGTAAGTCAGGAGCCTGAAGTCTGTAGAGTTGTACCATTGTAAACTTATGTGAGAGGAGACTCAGATCGCTAGCATTTAAACTGCAGAAATAGGGCACAGTGTATTGCATACTTAGCTATCTACATAAATAGGGTTTCAGAGAACCTTCTAGGGCGTGTGAGGATGACTCAGATTTTATAAGGTACTGTGAGAACCCTCTGTCATTAATTACTTTTGGCTGGAATGGTTTGGGAGAGCAACCCATCTTGCTGGCCTTATATTATTGAATTTAGACAATTATGTTGTTTCCATCTCCAACTGTTGTTTCTCCTTTAAACCTCCTTTGCCTGTTTCTGGCCATCTTTTCAAGCTGCAAACAATCAACACGGTCAAAATTTAGAAATCTATCATGGGCTGCCAGGACCAAAGAGTTTCCTTTGGACTCCGAAAGCAACAGTTACTAAACTGGGTCACTTAGAAAATTTTCATCCTGGCTTAGTTTTAAAAACAATAAATTGATTTATGCTTCTTAACTCTATAGATAATAAATAGAAAGAGCTGCTGGTGCCTTAGTAGGCATCATACATCTGCAAGTCACTTATCTGAACACACAAGTGAGCAATACTTGAATGGAGGAAACCCAAGTTTCTTATCTTTTACAAGTCTGCAAGAAGTAGGATGAGCAGGTAGGTGTGGAGACCTTAGGACATATGGAGAATTGTATTCAATTCTGAATTCTGATATTGTATCTGTCTCATCAGTCAGTCAGTCCCTAGTTCCCTACTTCAGGGCACAAGCATATTCTGTCTGAAGTCTGTGAGAATTTGAACTCAGATAGTTCTGGCCCTTGGTTTGAAGGAAGATGTGTTACCTCTGTAGAGTAAGTACATCTGCAAACCAGACAGTAGTGTAAAATCCTAGGTTTTTCAAAGCTTTTGAGGGGGGTTAACGTGCTGCTCTGGGGAGCTGAAAAAATGTTCCAATTAATCATCTGGACACAAGGTTGTGACTCGAGGGGTTATTTAGCATAGAGTTAGCAGAAGCAGTAAAATCACAAGCAAAATGTTAGGGTAGGTCAGTCAATTCTGCTGGGAAGAAATATCCTCTTAACTTGCAAAATTCTGC